AATCTAACCAGCAATCCTAATAACCTTGGAAAGAATAAGCAATCAAAATATCAGCCCTCTTTGTTTAACTAAAAGCTAGACGCGGAATAATAGATGCAGATATGAAAGACGAAAGAATTGTAAAGCAACACAAAGAAAGAGTGCAGATATGAATCCCGCAATGATTGATTAAAAGGCTAAGGTGCAGTAGGGCTTTAGCTTAGTTGAGAATGATCAGATGATATTTTTTCCTCAAAATTCTTGAAATAGGAAACTAATCAGATTGGATTTATATTTCTGAAGAGTGAACAACGAAGGCATAAGAAGTGGTTGTTTTTGGTGCTGCCTGCCCTTCACAATTTAAATACAATAGTTTTAAGAAAAGGTCATAAAGAAGAAGATAATACCTCATGGGTTAGGCGGAGTTGCTCGATAGATGCACCATGACTGGTGAACGGGCGCAAACTTGTCAAAATGCGTCCAAAATTGAATCAGGAATGTTTCTTCTGCGTACTGGCTCATTCGTGCACAATGGGTTTGGCTAATTCTGAGGGTCGACCGATGGGTTCCGGAACCTGCTCACCGGAATCGATGCTTGACGGGCCGGTTTCTTGAACTTCTACGGTTGCATAGGGGAACAGGCGCCGGTTAAAGCATATGAAACGGCGTTTTTGGGTGGCGTCTGATTTTCATGGCCGAATGTGAAACGCTCTTGTAAACAATAAATCTACCTCAATGGCATGTCACCTCCATCTCACCTTCCACGTGTCACCCTCACAATGAAATAACCCTACTTTAATTTCTATTTTGTGAATGTATATTTGGTGACCAAACTATATGAATACTCTAAGGCATAATGTGTAGTGAGTAGAAATAATCCTTTTTTAAGTCTCTTATGTCATTTCTTTGGATTGTGGATTTCAGATAGATAATAGTGTTTTAGGGTACATTTTTAAAAGCATTCTTTTTTTAATAAAGAAAGGTAGAAGGGTAGAGGAGTTAACGATCCACCCGATGTTTGTTAAGGGAAAAACCTGATGTGTGTTAGGGGAAAGGGGAAAAAGTAACAGGAAAAAAATTTGAACACTATAATGAAGTCCTTGGTTTGAACGACATTGGAACATGACAGAGGATGCTAAAATATGTAACCCTTTTATTCCTTGATAGAGTAAAGTTTCAGAGATTGTAGTGAAAAAATAAATTCAAAACAACAACTACCATTTGAATTGCTGATGGTATAAACCAAATTTCAAATAATATCATAAAAATTCAGAAAGTGTATTTCGAAATAATGGTAAGGGTGAAAAGTATTTTCAACATAGTCTTTAAGAAATCTTGATAGTATTTAGAACCTCAACAAAAAACAAGAAAGTAAAACGCAATTGGCTTAACTCAAAACACGACCTAGAGTCTGACCTAAAAATTAAAATCCAACGGATTGTACCCGCAAGCCTAACGCAAATTTTATTGTCAAACACTAAAGTTAAAAGTCAACCTAGAACCTAACCCAAAACCAAACCAAAAATCAGGTCCAATCCCCAAAGTAAGAAACAAAATCCCTACCCAGAACCTAACCCAACAACCAATTGCAGGGGTGCATTAAGCTATTCCCATGTTTAAAAATTGTGAATAAGTACAAAAAGAATGAATATGACATTAACAGGCTTTAAGAATGAAGACCAACCATTGTGTGTGGCGTTTGACAGGGTAAATATAGACGGTTTAGTGGAATCTGAATGTCACATGGCCTTAAGCACCTATTTGTCATAGTGTGGTTTTGATTAGAGTGCAGCAGTTCATATTAAGACAATTCTTTTTTGGGAGATATCCGGCAAAAAGAGGAAAACCAATACCGGTACATGGTGAAATTTCCATTTTGTTGAAAGTACCGCCAAGCTCCAGCCAATAAAGAAGACTCGGCATGAACCCTGTCATCAAATAGGACATGAAAGAGGTTAATAAATAGGAAAATCTCTTACCAAGGTGAATATTGTGTTGTGTTTACCAAGGTGAATATTGTGTTGTCTTTAGACACGGCAGCCAATTTTTCGTTATTGTGTTGTGTTTAAATTTTAACGTGGTGGAACTCATCTACTAAAAAATAAATTTTCTACTACGTTTCTTGACCTTTTGGCTAAGATCATCAAAAAGGTGAGACTGTTCCACAATTAAATGTTTTAGTCTACAAATACGTTATATATATATATATATACACACACACATATATACATATATATATATACATATATACATATATATATATATATATATATATATATAGTTTTTGTTCTTGGGTGATTGATTTGTTTTGTTCAAAGTTTCACATGGCGGATGTGAGCGATGAAGGTAGTGATTATATAGCAGCATCGAGAAGCTCGAGCCTAAATATTCGTCTTAGATTGTATTTCAATTGTTCGGAGCTTCAAATTATATAGATCTAAGAGGTAAAATCATTTCATAATTTAAAATAAAATAATATAATAGATATAGTACATTTTTTCTTTGATATTTTAATTTTACTTAAAGAAAAATGCAAGTGTTAAAATGAATATAAATTTGTTTAAAATCAAAGTCATAACCCGTTGGGTCGACCCAAACCGAATGATAATGGTGATGAACATATAGTTCTCTACTTGAACCCGCATTGACCCAAACATGAAGTAGTATGAACCCGAAGTAACCTGAAATTTTTAAAAAAGAAGTCATAAGTTGTTGGGCCAACCCAGAGACCGAGACCCAATTATAAGAGGAGGTTGTGGTGTTAATATTCCTTACCTTACGTCTTATTCAAGTGAATATGATGATCTTGCAAATATGTAACCTGTTTTACATTATGACAAGTCAAACAAAGCTAATATTTTGAAGATTTTTCGACTAAACAAACCATTTGAACACAACACCAATGACAAATCTTCAAAGAAAAAGTGTAGTTTTAATATTTTAAAAAAATCAGACTTTGAACTGTTTGCTAATGCCTAATGGTTCACTCAAAGTGCTGGTTCAGTAATGAAAAGTGCACATCTACTCCCTCATTTCATCATCCTCTCTCTCTACTGCGCTGCCTCTTGCCGAATCCCGCCACAACAGAACAAGTGTGGTAATTTCACTCTGCCACAAACCCTACTAGATTACATAATGTGTTTGAGAGTTTATAGGCATACTTCCAAGTAGGGGTGAGTTTTGGATACATATCACCTTCTCCAAACCCTACTTTCGTGGGGTTTTACTGGGATTGTCGTTCTTTTTTTTATGGCAGTGGGCATTCAAGTTTGGGTGCAATGAGCTATTGAAAGTACTTATCAGAGGTTGAGGTTTCAATGCCTTTGGTCCATTTCGTATCCCCCCTCTTGTGACAAATAACCTGCGATTCATTGGCAATAGCTTTGGAGTAAGTCTGGTGATGAGTAACCTGCTTTAGCAATTTGAAAAGGTTATGTAAGTGTACTTTTAGCGTGTTCAAAATTAATTGTCATGTTAAGGAAGTTGTTAGGATGAAGCTTCTTTTTACTTTTTTAGGGACGGCCATTAGTTCCATAGACCCATTGAAGAAAGTGATATCTTGGAATCTGTAAGCAATGTTCCCTTCAATCTTTTCCTGATTTTCAGAGCCATTACATCAAATAATACAAATAGGCAATTATTAGATTCGTTACAGACCTGTAATGTGGTAGGACTGAGAAGTAGACAGTTGTGAGTAACGGTCACCCTTTTACCCAACTACAGGGACTGAGCAAACCTTTATGGATGTTTGTGCAAAGTTTTTGTAGCCCAAGGATGAATTCAGGCCAGATTTTGAGTCTAAAAATCTGTAGCACATGGCACACCTCTCATTTTTCAGTTTCAAACAGGATTGCAAAGACGTAAAAAACAGGCCATAATTTAAAACTGCTAAAAAAATGTATTCTTTATAGTCACAAGCTTGCAAGTTATTATGCAGAATGTTCAATGGAAGTAATTTGAGCAGAATACACATCTGAATTTGAGCACTCTTGAATACATGGAATTTAAATTACCTGAAGAATAATTTACCAAACTGTTGCAGGTTCAGCCCTAGGTCAAAAATGACNATACGCAACGCCTAGAATCTGGAAATCTGAGGTTGATAGTATTTAGAACCACAACAATTTGATAGTATTTAGAACCACAACAAAAAACAAGACAGTAAAACGCAATTGCCTTAACTCAAAACACGACCTAGAGTCTGACCTAAAAATTAAAATCCAACGGATTGTAACGCAAATTTGATTGTCAAACACTAAAGTTAAAAGTCAACCTAGAACCTAACCCAAAACCAAACCCAAAATCAGGTCCAATCCCCAAAGTAAGAAACAAAATCCCTACCCAGAACCTAACCCAACAACCAATTGCAGGGGTGCATTAAGCTATTCCCATGTTTAAAAATTGTGAATAAGTACAAAAGGAATGAACATGACATTAACAGGCTTTAAGAATGAAGACCAACCATTGAGTGTGGCGTTTGACAGGGTAAATATAGCCGCTTTAGTGGAATCTGAATGTCACATGGCCTTAAGCACCTATTTGTAATAGCCGGTTTAGTTCATATTAAGACAATTCTTTTTTGGGAGAAATCTGACAAAAAGAGGAAAACCAATACCGGTACATGGTGAAATTTCCATTTTGTTGATTGGTGGAGGCGTTGAAATTTCCATTTTGTGAAAGTACCGCCAAGCTCCAGCCAATAGAGAAGACTCGGCATGAACCCTGTCATCAAATAGGACATGAAAGAGGTTAAATGTTTTAGTCTACAAAAACATTATCTATATATATATATATATATATATATATATATATATAGATTTTGGTTCTGGTGAGAATGCAATCTTAGGAGAGAAATGAGAATGAATCTGGTGCTTTAGATTGTGAGATCTAAGGGTCAAGATTTGATCAAAATTAGATGCACCAAAATGGTTCGAAAATGCATCACGTTGAAATGCAGCATAAACCTTCGAAAATGCACTATCTCAAAATCTGAGCGCAAGATGCAATCTGAGCCGCACGATGCATCAGATCCGACGGCTAGATTTTATTCTCATTTCTCTCCACAAGGTGCATTCTCACAGGAACTGGCTCCTATATATATATATATATATATATATATACATATATATATATATATATATATATATTAAAAGCAAAATTTTTATTCAAATAAGAAAAAAGAAAGGTACAGCGGAGGGGAGGACTAGGCCAAAGCCCCTCTAGAAATGCATGGAAAAAAAAAACTGAATGAGAAGTGAATCGAAAGAACTACAGATGGTCATTCCCAAATTATAAAACCCGGGTGCTGATCCAAGGCAAGGTTTCTGGGCATTATTTTCTTTGGCCTTTTCCCATCTGCCCCAATTGGGCCGACGGGTCCAACATACCAAAAGGGCCCAGAATAACTTTTGGTGGTGACGATTTTCTCCATTTTGGTTGATTTGCGGCTGGGCCAGTATCTAGTGATCTCGCTCACCGTTCCAACTTCAAGATTTGGATCGTAGCTTCTAGTTTTAATCGTCCTTGGTGCAGTTCCCCTCTTCCCCGCTTTTTTGCTGTGTCTTTTCTGTACATCTTGGAAGTCGTTAGGGTCCTCCATATAACATGCATTTAAAAACATGCAATTCATAAATCTAAAATTAGCAACTCATAATCGCAAATATCCATGCTCAATATAATGTAATAAATATATTTATACATGAATATGCATAGTATATAAATATGATGAATTTATGTTTTACAAAATAATGGAAAAAATACTGACCTCTTACATAATCCAATATAGAACATGGCAGAGATAACACGAGTCTATAGATAGAAAAAATCAAAGGAAGTAATTTGAGCAGAATACACATCTGAATTTGAGCACTCTTGAATACATGGAATTTAAATTACCTGAAGAATAATTTTCCAAACTGTTGCAGGTTCAGCACTACCTGTAGGTGAAAATGACAGTTCTTTCAGTAATAGAAAGAAACAACAAAGAGAAGAACAAGCCAAAGAACTCATAAGATTATACCTAGGAGGAATTTTGGAGATGGTGTCTCATCCCATCTCCCAAAANTCACCAACACAGATTTGTTCAAGCTCTACCAACGCAACTTTGACTTCAGCACTGCCAGCTGGCTCGGGAGCCTTAGCATCCCTACCATTAACAATGGTGGTTGCCAAAGCTTCAACTCTTGCCATATTTGTATACGTGTCGCTTGCAGATTGTACCTCATGATCTATTTCAAGGGTTTCAGCTCCAGGTTCTAGTATCTGTTCTAGATTAATTGCCTCAGATTTTTGATCAGATTGAATCAAATTTGTTTCAACCTGGGCAGGAGAATTTGTTTCTACAGAAGTGGTATCATTTTCATTAGCACCATCCTGATTCTGACTATCAACTTGTTTTGCCACAAGTTTTAAGGTGGTGTCCACCGTTTGCAACAGAGGGACGGCTACAGCAAGAGCTGTATTCCTAGTCCCTGGCAATTCCTTCACCAACAGTGGATTTTGTGGCTTTTTTGCAGTTTTTGTGTCCAAAGGATTTGCAAGAGGGGCAGCATTCAGGGAGATCTTCATAGTGGATAGGTTGATGAAAAGTAAGTTGTCCAAGATGTATCCAGACACCATGGGGCAGTTCCTCACTGGTATCAACCTCAACACAAATACGTGCAACAGATGGCCTTGACAGGCTTGCTGTTGCAGCATCAGTTTTCAGTGGTTTACCAATCAAATTGGTAATGGAATATAAAGCCAGAAAATCAAAAAATTGAATGGGAAGACCTTCAAGACTAATCCAAACTGGAATCAATGGGGAATCAATATTTGGATCAAAATCATGAGTCCAACGGAACACTTTCAAAATAAAGCCATTAATCTTCCAGTATTTTTGCAGCAAGCATCGCAGAAAGTCATTCTCAGATTCGAAATTAATTAAGATGTGAGATTCATCTAGCAAACTTACAATAAACTCCTTTTCAAAAGCAATTCGTTCAAAGGCCTTACGGATTGAGATTAGGCATGGTCTACCCTTGGTGAATCGACCCACGATTGTGCGAACAAACATAGCAGCAAATTGTTGATTTCTTCATCTGAGAAGGATATAGCCAGTTGGCCTTTGTATTTCGTCGCTGGTTTGTAGTCGCCCTTGATAGCTATGTCGTTGAAGCTTCGAGGATGAGGGAGAGTGGTGGCCATTGCTAGAAGATGGTCGCCGGCCCGCCATAGTGGCGGTTGGCGGAAACCTAGCCGAGGAGAAATCTAGAGGGAGAGAGCATTATATATATATATATATATATATATATATATATATATATATATATATATATATATATAAGAGGTAAAATCATTTCATTGTTTAAAATAAAATAATATAATAGATATAGTACATTTTTTTGATATTTTAATTTTACTTAAAGAAAAATGCAAGTGTTAATATGAACTTAAATTTTGTTTAAAATCAAAGTTTTAACCCGTTGGGTCGACCCAAACCGAATGATAATGGTGATGAACATATAGTTCTCTACTTGAACCCACATTGACCCGAACATTAAGTAGTATGAACCCGAAGTAACCTGAAATTTTAAAAAATGAAGTCCAGTTAATGGGCCAACCCAGAGTCCGAGACCCAATTATAAGAGGAGGCTGTGGTGTTAATATTCCTTACCTTACGTCTTATACAAGTGAATATGATGATCTTGCAAATCTTCAACTAAACAAACCATTTGAACACAACACCAATGGCAAATCTTCAAAGAAAAAGTGTAGTTTTAATATTTTAAAAAAATCAGACTTTGAACTGTTTGCTAATGAGTCAAATGAAGAGTCCACTTTTTATAAAGCAAAAAAATAATATTAAAGAACATACCTTTTGTTTTTCAAAACCCACAAACCCTGGCACACTGGGCAATAGATATTCAAACATTGTCAAGGCTGCAAACATGCCTACTGGGATGTATTCCCTGCCAAATTACAACTAAGATCAATTAGGCACCAAAATGTCCTAAACCATGAACAAAGCTCACTCAGAATGGAATAAATTTTACATGAGGAACCATATACAACCTACCACTGCATTTTTTTTCTTTTTATTTATATACCAGAGTGCAGTAGCATAAATTATGAACTTTCATTAATGAAGGGCATATAGAAGCAAAATCCAAAGCTGCAGCATGAGTTCTCGTAGAATCCATTTCTCACTTCCAAAACCTATAAACATGAGGAATCATAAATCAAAGTTAAAAGATATGGTTACTATTAATAGGAAGACATATAAATAAATTAACACTTGTAAAAATGCTAATAGGTCATGTGGTATACTATACAAAATTAGACCTGTATACTGTGGGCTATAAGATTCCATGAGGTCAATTCTTACTCTTATTTTCATTTCTCTTTAATATTATTATCTTAATCTCCCCCTAAATAA